ACTCTGGCTTTTCTTTGAGTCAAGAGCAGATAGAGGTGCTTAAGTCATTTATTTAGAAAAAGGATGCATTTGCGTCTTCTCCAACAGTGTATGGAGGACTGCCTCATTGACTGACATCTGTAGCAGTGAGTATGTCCCTTTGTCCGTTGTCCAATAGAAAGTGGAAACAGTTTGTAAGACATGGACAGATCCCGCCCCACGACTGAGATCTGTTGTGGTCAGAGTATATATTCACATGTATAGGATGACTTGCCAGGCTAGTTTAATGGTGCAACATTTAAATATTTAGAAGGTCTTCTATCACCAACTTGTTACCTGTTTTAGTGGCACTTGTTTGAACTCACGATCTGTATCAAAGACACCTGTTCACACCGTCAGACTCCTGCCTCCACCATGGCCAAGACCACAGATCATCAGGGGCAAGGCTGTATACCTGCACAAGACTGGAATGAGCTAATATAGAAGGAAAGCAGCTTGGTGAGAATTGTTGGAGCAATAATTAGAAAATGTAATAAGTACAACATCACTGTCAATCTCCCTCGAGCTGAGGCTCCATGCAAGATCTGACATTAGGGCTGCAACAAACGATTATTTGTGTCATCGACGATTCAGATGGGGTCTCGACTCGGTTAATCTATTAAACAGATTAAACCAGAAAATTTAAAAAATGTTAGGGAAACGTTTTTTCCTCTCCTTCCTTTACTTTAACAACAAAACATGGTTGTGCTCAGTTTGTTAGTAGAGTTGTTAAATGTTAAAATAAAGTGAATTACATAAAAAAGAAGAAACATTCTGGATTTGTTTCTTTGCTTTCTTTATTGAAGTATCAGATCGATACCCTGTATCAGCAGATTCTCAAAGGGAAACGATTTGGACTCGAGTGCAAAAAAACTTGATTGGGGAAATTTTTTTAATTTCAGTTTTCAAATGTAAACACTACAAGGAAAACATTTTTTTTTTCTTGTTCCTTTCCTTTAACAACAGAATATGACTGGAAAAGAGTTCAATAGCTTATAAAAACAACATGCTATCACCTAAATATGGTGAAACTATGATCAGTAAAAATGTATGCATTTCAATAACATGTTCAGTAGTAAGCTACTGGAAATGTTAATAACATTTAATCTCGAGCCGATCCTGTACCGACACTGGTGTTACGTCGATATGTGAGCAAAAGAAACAGATCTCGAGGGGGGAAACACATATCAACATAACACCAGTTCTGCTCCGTAGCGCTGCACACAGCTAATGAACAGGATGATGAGGGTGACTTTTCTTCCGCTTGTAGAGTTTAGATATTCTTAGTTTCACAACCATCATGTTTTTTCTGAACCCACTTGATCGTGAGCCTGCTACCTGCTAGCACTAGCTAATCTGCTTGTAGTTACACTGTTGATACCAAACTTTGGACTGTTTCTGCCCCTGTGTCTTTGCTGGTTTCTCTGTTTTCCTCCACATCACCTAGATTAGCACATTGTGTGCCAGTAAAAAGCATTGTCCTTACACAATAATTATACATGTGACATATATGTGTCTCTCATTCTAATCTGCCTCAGTCTGCTCTGCTGATGTATCAGATGAGCTGTGCGTATTGACTGTTACATGAAGATTGCACAACACCAAAAAAGTTGCACAACAAAACAAATTGATGACAAAAAGCATTGCCAACGCATTTCTTCATCGTATTTTATCATTTTTTTCAATTTGTTGTTACAGCCGTATCTGACATTGTGGGGTACAAATGATCTTGAGAACAGTTAACAGCTCAAGGGGAACTTTTAAATGACCTGAAGAAGAGTGCTGGGACCACAGTAACAAAGGTTACCATTAGTAACTCACGTCACCATGGATTAAAATCCAACAGTTCTTGAAAGATCCCCCTGTGTAAGCCAGCACATGTCCAGGCTCATCTAATGTTTGCCAGAAACCATCTGGATGATCCAGAGGAGGATTAGGAAAATGTCGTGATCAAATGAAACCAAAATAAACTCGGTAGCACTTTACAATAAGGGTCCCTTTATTACCGTTATTTGATTAACATTTAATAAACAGCTTAAACAAATGTTGTTATGTGTTACTAAGCAGATTAGAGCCTCCCTTGAACTAGTTTTTAGAGAAACATAATAAGAACTTGCTCTAAAAAACGTAGACATAGATTATTTAGGCAATGAGAGTCGTTTTTGTGAGAAAAATGTTTTTTTTTTCCTGCCAAACCAGACGTGACACAGGCAGAGGGAGTCCTGTTAGCTTGATCCAGAGAAAAATATGGATGCTAATGCCGGCTCTGACACAGAGGAAACATTAAATGTTTATAATTCTACTTCTGATGGACCAAAACCATAAAGTTATGAATTTGCTGCACGCCCCATCAGAGACAAACTAGAGGAAGAAACCATTGGCCAAATGCAGATAGTGCTGTGCATCCACAAACACAATAGTTTACCATTTTTAAGAAAAATGAACGCAATCCAAAACTAGTGAACACACTGACTCGACCTATAAACCTTATAACGACTTATTGGCCACACTGAGCTTGAGGCAAGGCTAGCTTATAGCTCCCCATCATTAAGTCAGAGGTTAAGATAAAAAAAAGAGAAGTATTTTAGAAGCTTTGCTGAAAAAAGCCACTTTTTACTCGAAAAAATGTGTCGCTATGTATTGTAAAACAAAATACCCACAATAAGTGTTTCAAATAGTATTGTTTGGACGGCATTTTATATAAAAAAAATCTGTAATTTGCTCTTTAATAATGCACTAACATAAATAAAAGGACACTTATTGTAACGTCTTACCTAGAATAAATGCCCCTCGCCATGCTTGAAGGGGTAAAAATGCTGCGTTGTGTCCCAAGAACACCATACACACTGTGAAGCATGGGTGTGGAAACATCATGCTTTGGGCTGCTTTTCTATAAAGGGGACAGGACAACTGATCCGTATTAAGGAGAGGATGAATGAAGCCCTGTATGATCAGATTTGGGGTAAAAAAAACCCTTCCATCAGTGAGAGCACTGAAGAGGAAACATGGGTGGATTTTCCTGTAGGACATGATCCCAAACACTAACCCAGTAGAAAGTCTGTGTTCTCCAGCGACAGCCCCATGAATGTGTGAATGACTGATTGTGTTGTAAAGCGCCTTGGGGGGTTCCAGGACTCTAGAAGGCGCTATATCAAATACAGGCCATTTACCATTTACCATTTTAAATTTGCGGTTTGATGGATCAAAACCTAAAAAAAACTTTTTGGAAATCTGTTTAAGCACTAAAATAAAATTTCCATTAAATAGAAAATATATAAAACCTCAATAAATGTCAGCTGAATTCCTCTTTTGCCTCAGAGGACTCATTATTTCTGTCAGAGTAAGTCAGTGGTTACATGGCTTCAGCTGTGAAGAGGAGGGGGCGGGGTTCTAGCCATGCCCCGCCCCCGTGTTGTTGTTGACAGCTTTGGGTCGATTTGTACGTGAACCGTTTCGTCCCACGGGAAGGAAGGGGCTGGACTCTGAAGTGACGACAATGCTCGGGATTCGACCAATGGCGCCTCGCATCATGTGTCCCTCAGAAAAATCTCTGTTCTGTCCAAAAAAACAAAACACCTGTTATTTTATTATATTTAAGTGGATTAAGAGCACTAGCTTATTCACTCATTAAATGTTTATTTCATCAAAATATGTTTTTGATAGTTTTAAGTTTAATGATATTAAAATATATGTTCTTCATCTGGGTTGATAATTCTATTTTTACTGAATAGATGTTTGAAGTTTTAAAAGACAGATATCAGCTTCTTTTGCGCTCACATTTGGGATGCTGCTGCGCTCACTGACTCCACCCATAGAAACGGTGTCGTAGGACATCTGGAGAAAGGAAAAAACAAATTCTTATATTTTCTGCTTCTAAAAAAGTTTTTTTTACTAAGAAAATGAAAAACCACAAAGCTGCACCAAAGTGGAGCTCTGATCCTGGCTCAAGGAAAAGCAACAAAAAGGGTATAAAATCAACAATAGATAAAAAAAACATAACAAAAGGAATTAAATCCAAAGTATAAAATAATAAAATTAAAGTAAAATGTATTTATTTTAAGATGACAAATAGCAAAGCAACAAACCCTTTAATGTCATATTCAAAATGCAATAGTACTGTATTCACTGACTCTACCCAGGATATTGGCCTGTGTGTGTGTGTGTGTGTGTGTGTGTGTGTGTGTGTGTGTGTGTGTGTGTGTGTGTGTGTGTGTGTGTGTGTGTGTGTGTGTGTGTGTGTGTGTGTGTGTGTGTGTATGAGCATGGTTGAAAAGCAATGTCTGGCTTTCATTGATTAATAGAAATAATCTAACACTAAAAAACTTGTGCTGAGTTAAAAGCCAAGTCATAAAAATAGGTTTTCAAAAGAGATTTAAGACAGTGAAGAGACCGACCTAATGCCTAAAGGCAGCTCATTCCAGAGCCTAGGGGCTGCTACAGAGAGAGAGCTGTCACCTCTGAGCTTACGTTTTGTTTTTGGGACTTCCAGGAGCATCCTATCAGCCAACCTCAGAGACCGTGCAGGGGAGTAAAATCCAGTAGCACAGAGAGGTAATCTTGAGCGAGGCCATGCAAAAATTTAAAAGCTCATAAAAGCACCTCGTACTGGATTCTAAATCGAACAGGCAGCCAGCGCAGTGAGGCCAGGAGAGGAGTAACATGCTCTATTTTTTTCGTCCCAGTGAGCAGCCGTGCTGCAGCATTCTGCACCAATTGAAGACGCGAGAGGTGGGATTGTGAATCACCAAGGTACAAAGAATTACAGTAATCAAGCCTTGATGCAACAAAAGCATGAATTACTGTTTCAAAATCATTTTAGACAGCAAGGTTTTTACTTTGGTGATCCTTAATTGAAAAAAACTAAATTTAGTCACCACACGGATCTGCCTGCCCAAGACAAGATCCCCACCCAGTACAACACCCAGGGAAGTCACACAGTTTCAAGAATGGGGCATGCTGACCAAGGTCCCCTGCACCCACCCTAGTCAAAGTACTGGGACCAGAAACTACAACTTCTCTTTTTTATCATGAAAAGAAGGAAGTTAGAGAACATCCATTGCTTAACCTCAACAAGACAATCTAAAAGAGACTGCAAAGCATGATTGTGGTCACTCTTAAAAGGCATGTATACCTGGGTATCATCTGCATAGCAGTGAAAATGACACCCATGCTTCTTAAAAATCGAACCAAGAAAGAGAATTTTTATTTATTATTACTTTTGTCACATTCAAGTTATTTGTGTAATAATTGTGGGTTTTTCTTTCATTGACCAAAGGGCACCAACATTTTGGTCCACGTCTGTAGATAGTCTGCATTAAGGATGCTCATTATTCAGAAGACCCTCGAGGCATTTGAAGGGATGCCGATGAGAACTTGGTGGTTTTACCTCTGCCAGCTTCTCACCTTTTCAAATATGCCTGAGTCATGGTTCTTAAGCTTGGACTTGAAGCTGGAGGAGTATTTGAAGTCAGGCAGCTCAGCAGTGTCTCTGCTGATGTCGCAGGAAACCTGACGGCTGGCAGGTCGGGATCCTAAGCTGGATAGGTCGGCCTCAGTGTCCGTCAGACCCTGAAGAGGAAAACTTATCAGACAAAGGATAAAAAATCTGTTCTTGGTTATCTACTGAGGTTTGGTGCCCACTGATTCGCTGTCAGAGGCGGAGGAGAGGCGGGACTTTCTGGTGCTGGGACGTCTGTATTGGCTGCTGATGTCGGAGCTCTGGCTGGTCAGGGTGGGGCGACGCATGGACATGAAGCTGCTGCTGGTGGAGCGAAGGTCACGAGGGTGGATGCAGAGCAGAGTGCCAAGGCACGGGATGTACCTAGCTAATGCTATCCTGGAAAAAAGAAATGAAACACCAGATGATCACTCATTTATCCCCTCCGTGGGTTCTGAGCACAGTCTTCCAGGCCAGCAGGGGGTGCTAAACCAGACCTAAAAGTTTACTTTTTAATCTGTGTGTCCATTAACATTAACAGTTAATTTTTACTTTTTTCATTTGAATAAATTAACCAAAACCTCAATAAACCCAAAGAAAACAAAAACCTGAATAAGCTGAAGATTAGCCTTTTCATCAGTTTTAGCATGAAAACAAATTTTAAACATTAAAAAAAACATTTTTTATAGTTTTTGACATTTTGCTATTTGAAGTAAACAAATAAATTAATAAATAAATATTTTTGAAACACTTAAAATAAAGCTTCATCGAACTGAAACTACGTAAAGTAAATAAGTCAACAAAAACAAAGAAATATTTTTGACCAAGTGTCCTAACTCATCCCCTAGGAACAGAGCCTTGTCGTTGCACTTGCATCCTCAGGCCCGTACCTGTACTTGGGGTGTGTGATGGCGTAGATGATTGGGTTGTGGATGGCCGAAGCTTTAGCGATGACGGCAGGAATGGAGTTCATGTAGGGAGTCAGCATGTCCGCGTAGCTGCATCAGAAAGAACCTGAACAGGGTCAGTTTGGTTCTGTTCACTCACATACTTTATTCATGATTAACCACAGAGTAAATAAACCCAGGGCAGCTAAATCAGGCATCTGGCAGTGATGTTATTTATTTAACATTTTTAAATTTGGCTCCTCCCCTCTGCTTCTATGACATCATCATTCTGAGCATTCTATCTAAGAATTGTTACTAATTAACTAATTGGTATATTTATGCTTCCAGCAGTTTGTCAAAGCCAGTCTCAACATCAAGCTCCCCACAAGGCGGGAAAATCCCTGCTCTCTGATTGGCTAGGACAGTCTCCACATTTCTCCAGCCCCATCAGAGTTTCTAGCTAGAGCTTTTGCAAGAGTAAAAAACAACTTTCAAGCATCCTGCTATAATAACATTTCTAAAAATCTGGTGTTTGGTCTTGCCATATTTACCCGGCAAAAGCAGTGAGAGCAACGGTGGAATATGGCGACCAGGAAATGACGTAGAGGAGGATGACGATCAGCGCAATCTTTGCCATCTTCCACTCATTCTGCAGCCGGTGGAATCTCTTCACCATGTCTCGTGTGCTGCTGTGGCTGTGAGTGCTGCCGTTAATCTTCCCAACTGCCCTGAAAACACACACACACACACACACTTGTATTTATATGCTTGTGTAGACCTCTATTGATATCTATTTATTTTAGTTACTCCACTTTGCCTAACCCTAGCCTAACCATAACCTAAATTCACCCAAACTACAAGTTAATTCACACCCAGGGCCACCTTAACCAGCTGATAGGGCAGAGAGGCTCAGTATATGTGTGTGTGTGTGTGTGTGTGTGTACATTTTTACAACAATAGCACACTTTTACATTATCCTGATATTCTTTAAATAATTATGTTATTGCTTGTTTTGTATAAAAATGAAGTCTTTTAGGTTTCTGATTCAAAAATAGCAATTCCAACAAAATGTTCATCTCCATGAGGAGCTTTAATCGACTCTAATAATAAATATTTTATGGGTGACCAATCAGAGCTCTTTAAATAAATGTACTGTTTATAAATATCAACCTACAGTCCTGAAAAAATATGTAGAGAATATGATAATTCAATAACGTAGCCTTCTTTGAACTTTCACTAATCAACTAAAGGTTTCACAAGTGACCGCTTGTCTTGTAGGGGTTTTGCTGTTAATGTTTTAGTGTTTTTTTTTTCTTATAAATACTTTTCTTATACAAATTTAATTGAGTTTATATTCTGTGTATGTAGCAGTTTTATCTTTGTTTCTTGCTTTTACCATATTTATCTAAGCTTTTATGTAATTGTTGAGTTGCTGTTTTCGGCACTTTAGACTACCTTGATTGGTAGCATTAAAGTACTTTACAAATAAATAAATTAAATTAATGTAGAATAATCTAATCCAGGCTTGAAGAATCAAGGTGTTCTAGTTCTAGTTCTAGCTGGACCAGGTCTAAAGTGAACCAAATGCCAAAAAAGTGCTGAAATCAGTTTTCTTAACAGGTTTCACAAATCACCAGTTATGCTTTAATAATTGTGCTTTTAAATGAAAATGATCTAGTCCAGGTTTGTAGTTTTATAAATGGAGCAGAATAAAGTCACTCAGGGACTGGAAAATGTGGTTGGAATCACCCTTTCAGACTTAAAAACTAAAATGGGCACCAACTTCAGCTTTGTCTTATATATTTTGTTTACTTTTTTGCAACAAGTAAATGTCTTGTTCATGATTAAATAATAATAAACAATAAATTAAATAAACAGGCTAAATGGTCACATATCTTTGGCATCAACAAGAAACTCCAGAGTAGATGAACACATAACTTTAACAGTTTATTTGGCTGCTCGAGTACAAAACGATGGTTTGCACAAATAGTGGTTAAAGCAAAGTGCATCAGGAGTGAGCTTGTGACGAGCGTGTGTCTTTTTGCTGCTTGGACAGTGAAGAGAAATGCACATTAATGAAGAAAGCGACAGCAGAACGGAGCAATTCCCTGATGCGCGGTCTGCTCCGTGCCAGCAGCCTGGTCTGCAGGTGCGTGCGTGAGTGAGCTATGTCCAACCTCTTCTTCTGTCAGCCTCGGTATTTTCTGTCTGAATTCTTTTTCTCAAAGCTCCTTCTTACAAAATGCTTTTTGTTTCCGAGCAACCCTTCTTTCCCAATATTTTCCCAATTTCCTTACATCTAGAGGAACACACCCTGAAATCATCTAAATTGTTTGATTGGTCCATGGTCCAATGGGCCTTTAGAGGTCACATGGCTGATGTAGGTCACTTGTAATTTCGATCAATCAGCAGCTTTAAATCAGCATCTAAGAGGCTCGACAGAAAACCTGACAAGTAATAAAACAGTGGGGTTTTTTGTACCTGAAATGACTGGCCCCTAAACATCATTCACCCCTGGCCACTGCCCTGGTTGGCACTTGCAATAAGGCGACCTTGTTCACACCATACCTCTAAAACCAAGTTTTAGGGTGTTTAGCATCATGTGCACCAGCAAAATGTCCCCACAGTGTGGAATGTCCACACGTTACAGGTTAAAGTGAAAATCTGTCCACTTAAACATACAAAGACAAGTATACACACACACACACACACACACACACAATACGCATGCACACGCGCACACGCACACACACACACACACACAATACGCATGCACACGCACACACACGCACAGACACAGAAACACACACAAGTACACACGCACACACACACACACAATACGCATGCACACGCACACACACGCACAGACACACACAAGTACACACACACAATATGCACGCACACACACGCACACAAACACAAACACACACACACGCACAGACACACACACACACACACACACACACACACACACACAGATCTAGACTGTGAGCTTTGGAAACCTGCATCATTTTTGTAAGCTCAGTTCTTTTTTACTTGGCTTTAATAAGGAGAGAAACTGACTGGTTGGTGGTGCGGATGGCTCTGAAGATGAGGATGTAGCAATAGATGATGATGAAGAGAGGCAGGAAGAAGACAAAGATGAAGAGCAGCATGGTGTATGCTCGCACCGAGGGGGTAAAGGTCATGTAGTCCCATGTGCAGGAAGTGAGCAGACCCTCAGGGACATAGGCACCTGATGAGGCAGAAACAGAAACATAGAAACAGGATCAGACGATTTTATGTCCTCTGACCTGAAGGACTGAGAGGCATAAAAGACAGAAAATGTTAGAAATAGTTAGTTCAGCTGTGACAGAACCTGTAAAACAGGACCACTTCTGCAGAATTCACTCAATTCAATGAGTAATCTGTTATTTCTATAAATAATCTGAGTCATTTGTTGACACTTGGTATTGATTTAAAAAAGTGCGCACTTTAAATTTTTTTTCTTAACTGAACAAAATCCTTTCATGGCAGTAATTTTTGAAACTAAAGCATTTTTTGAAGAAAGTCAGTAAAACTTTAAGAAACTAGATTGAGAAGTAATTATTTTGTATAATAATAATAATAATGTGGCATTGCTTCTTGTAATGAAACGGCAAAATGTGTTAAAGTCATGCCATCTACACATGTAGCTGCAGTTTGTAAAACAGAGTATCCTGTCCCACGATTGGGTCCGCAACACCTAATTCTCAGCAACAACAACAACAACAACAACAACAACAAAAAATCAGTGCATTCTGAAGCATATTCATAAACATGCCAAGCAGTGGCGGCTCATCCATAGGGGGCGCTAGGGTGCCACCCCACCAGTCTAACAAGAAGACAAAGAAGAAGATAGGAATCCCAAAGTATTAATATACGGTGGCACAGGAGTTAAGTGCTTGCCCCGTAATCGGATGGTTGCAGGTTCGAGCCCCGCTCAGTCTGTTGTTGTGTCCTTGGGCAAGACACTCAACCCACGGAGGGCTTGGAGGGACTGGTGGTGCGGCAGACTCGCCTCCGTCAGTGTGCCCCCAGGGCACTGAGATTCCCCACCAGCGTGTGAATGTGTGTCTGTGAGTGACTGATAGTGTTGTAACGCACCTTGGGGGGTTCATGTACTCCAGAAGGCGCTATATCAAATACAGTCCATTTACCACTTTAAAAAAAACATGAAAAATAAACCAAATGATCTCTACATCATACAGAATATAAGTGCTGTGTTTCACCTGCATTCAAGTGTAGTTATAACATGTTATTTACACTCTAACTACGACCAAATCATCTTGTGACATATTTTCTGTTTCTTTTGGGAGAAGCAATCTTTACTATCGACCTACGCTAACTGGTGCATGTGCGTTGGATCCCCCCTCCAATAAAAAAAAATAGGAGAGCCTTTGGGCGCAGGGGCACAGTGACCGTGAAGACATGCATAGAAGACCGGCAGGGCGGCGTCTCAGCCAAGCCCCCATAATTCGGATCTGGATATGAAGCAAAACAGGAAGTGACAAAAATTGCAGTTCCACCCTCATCCGCTGGGGGCTGGTGTCAGAAGCGAGCAAATCCTCATTGACTCCCATGTTAAAAATACCAATTTCACAGCAGAAATAAACATGTTTACAGCCTGGTACCAAAACATGTTTTAGGTTTAAATGATCTAGTTTACATTCATGACAACTCTGAGGGGGGTGAATTTTTTTTCTCACTCTTCTGTTTAAGTGTATTAAAAGCCTAAAATTCTGTATAATTAATGAGCATCAGACCCACGTGACCACAGAGCTAGCTCCGTGGAAAGGCCTCAGTAGAGCCTCGGTCTGGCTTGGAAACTGCTCCGCCATTTTCAGTCTCTCAACTTAGACCATTAGTTGTAGCATTTGTGTATTCTTTTTTGGATATTTTTTGTGCAATTGTTGGACAAAATGACTTGCTGTGGCATTAATTGCACTAATAGAGCATCCAAGAAGTCTCCAATTCATTATTTTCGGTAAGTAAAATTATATTTATGTATTTATTTTGATGATTTTAGGTCACTGCCGCTCTTGCACTAGCTGAGCTTAGATTTTAAAATGTACTGTTTAACCATGAAATTTAAATGTAATAGGGAAAAACCCAGTGCATTTAACATAATGCTAAATTTTTGAAAATGGGTTGAAATATGTTGGTGGAGCTGGGTTCCGACTATCGGTATGGTCCCCTCCCCTCAGCGGCAGCTCGGCGCATCTCTGATCGCTGTGGCGCCTGTCTGCTGCGCGACTACCGGTTTGTGGAGCTCTCGGGAGACCTCTGTGCTCCACCCAGCGGTCAGCCCGGCACATCTGTGACTCAGAAGCTCTGGTGTTGTGCACAGTTAACTCCAGTTGAAGCTACATAGCTACCTCTGTTAGCATAGCTTCCACCTCCGCGTTAGCTTTGGGTTAGCTTGTAGCTACATTGCTTCAGTTCGACGGGTGTCATCATTTGATCCCAGCCTCACAGCCCCACACTCAGCTCCACATTTTTTCCCTTTTTTGGAATTGTTTGGGCTTGACGGAACCTGTGACGCGGTCAAAATGGCGGTGGTGGGAACCTCCCATTTTGGCACAAAAACTCATAATTGGAGCCTATGGACACAAACTGTCCAGTATATATGCCGATGGTCTCAGCTCAGGTCCGGACGGAACCTGAAATTCTCCACAGCTCACCGTTCTTTGTTGTTGTAGATCAGCTGAGTACACCTCGTGGAGTTTTGTTATTATGAAGAATCGGAAAATGATGGAATGTGGCATCAGGGACTTGTAAACACTCTCCAGCAGGTAAACAAGAGCACAAGACTGTCATAAATCAGCTCAAGTGTGACATTGGGACAAAGGTTAGTTGGACATTTGAAATTTGACATTCACTCCATGGTTCACTACATTCAGCCATGAGTTTTAAGCCGGGCGCTGCACCAGAGAGAGACAGCGATCAGCTGTGTTCTGAGGACTCGCTCATGAAAGCAATGCTTTGCTTAGGGACCATCAACAAATTCTAGTCATTCAAAAAACAGACACATACAAAAAAATCAACAGCTTCAAGCTTAATTATAAATAAATTAGTCAAAATCAATTCTCGGTTGTTTCTAAACTAGACCAATGAGACACAACAGTTTTAACATGCTTCATACGATCTGATCTTTTTATTAGCAATTTTAAGAACCTCCAGGTAGATTGACCAAAATACTCAAACTCCATTCCCAATGGTGTTACTAAGCCTCACCAATGAGACACAGCAGTTTGTAACACATTTCATACAATCTGATTTTTATTATCAAGATTTTCATCCTGTCTTCAGAACAGCTGACCGCCGTCTCACTCTGGCGCAGTGCATGGCGCCTCCGTCAGTGCGCCCCAGGGCAGCTGTGGCTGCATTGTAGCTCATCAATGGCTATACAAATACAGGCCATTTACCACTTATATGGCATGAAAACTCATCGCTGACCGTGGAGAACTATTGAGTTAATGTCTGTGTCAAATATATAACGTCCAATTAACTTCACCATGGTAATTTTTCAGCATGAGAAATTTGAGTTGTGGCGTGAGAATGTGTGAAAGGGTCAGATGTGAGTGTAGGCAGCCCTAGTGTCAGCCCGTTAGCAAGGCTTGGCTACTGTTAGAGTTGTGGGTCGGTGTTCCACACGCAGAAGAGCGATGGCTGGAGTGGCAGAGACGACAGGAACTGGTGCTTGACTGGACTCTGAGACCGAGCGAAGCTGATGGAGGGGGAACTAGCCGGTGAGCAGCAACAGCTAGCTGCAGACTAGCAGAGCTGGAGTCTGACTGGAACGTGAGGTACGAGAGGAGAACCAGGAAAAGTTGGAGTCTTGAGGAGTTTATAAGAAAACTGACATGTTCAACAACTGGTCAGGAGCTCCAGTCACAACGGATTGATGACTGAGGGCCCTGAAGTGAGTGAAGGAGGTTCTTAACCGCTCAGAGGCTGAGATCCACCTAATAGAAGGCAGGGAGTTCGTCATGCACAGCTGCTGGGAGTTGAGCTTGATGAGGTCCTGACAATGCGAGTGTGTGTGTGTGTGTGTGTGTGTGTGTGTGTGTGTGTGTGTGTGTGTGTGTGTGTGTGTGTGTGTGTGTGTGTGTGTGTGTGTGTGTGTGTGTGTGTGTGTGTGTGTGTGTGTGTGTGTGTGTGTGTGGACTCACTCCAGCCAAAGAAAGGCGGCAGGCTCCAGCCCAGTGAGTACACCCAGACCAAAGCAAGGACTAGAAGGGCCCGTTTCCGTGACAACACACCGATGGAGGTCAGAGGGCGCGTGATCACGAAATAACGATCAATGGCAATCACTGTCAGTGTGATCATGGAGCAGATCCCGAAGAGAGCGCCGCAGAAAGCGTAAAGCTCACAACCTGCAGACAGAAAACAAAGTTAAACCAGGTTCAGAGAGAAGCAGACACCCTGTCTCTAAAACTAAAACAAGTTCAGCCTGGGAGAAGGTGAAACTAAAACAAAATCAACATCAGACTCAGAGATGAAACTGACATAAAACGTTGTTTTGACTGAAGTGAAGAATGGACTCCACCAGGTCCTTCTCTGGTTTCTGGTCCAGTTTGTGATGTTCATGGACCTGAGACCAGGGTGTGGAGAACTGGTTTGGAAACCTCAGCGTCTAATCTCTGCTTTCTTTATCCTGTTGGCACCTTTAAGCCGTGTCCCCCATTTACAGCCTACGTCAGAGCCAGGTCCTCCAAGTCTGAGGAAATGGTTCTCAAAAGGAAAAGACGGAACGCTCTACCCCATCTGGGAGTGACTCTCTGCCTCAAGCAGAGGAAGTTCCTGAGTAGTGGACAGATGGACCAAAATGGTCATGAAGAAGGTGAACCAAAAGACAAAGCTCTCTATTTACACCCTCATCTAAGGTCACATGATGTGGTTCATGATCCTATACAGCTGGTTCAAATGATCTTCCTCCATTGGTCTGGCTCAGGCTTAGAAATGTGATGAGAAGCTCCATCATCTAGAGGAGAGCTGATGCTCCTCCTCATCAAAACAAGTCTGCTAAGGTGGTTCAGCAATAGGACCGGGTCGCCTCCTAAATTACTCCGTCTGGAGGGTAAATCAAATCCAATCCAATCCAATCCAATTTTATTTATAAAGCGCATTCACAAGGCATTACAACCAAACAAGGCGCTGTACACTAAAAATGTTGGTTAATTAAACAGGCGTTATACAAACATGTCGAACACAGATAAAAGATAAAAAAGGAAAAACAACAAAATTCCCAAAAATAACAGCTAAAAATCAACAAGACACAGGGTGAATAAAAAATTAGAAAAACATTTAAAAAAGAACCTCAATAGTACGGAAGTCAATAATTGTGGAGTCCATTTTTAAACAGTGCAGATGTAAGTGAGGTTCATAATTATGTGGTATAAGCTAGGTTGAAGTAGTGAGTTTTCAGGCATGATTTAAAAAATGCTAGCTGTTGGTGCTTGCCTCACTAGCAGTGGTAATGTTTTCCACAGCTTCGGTGCACAGACAGAGAAAGCCCTTTCTCCACGGCTTTTTAAACGTGCATTCGGAACAGCTAGGAGGAGCTTATCTTCAGACCTGAGAGCACGCAGCGGGTTGTAGTAATGGACAAGTTCACACAGATATGGAGGAGCTTGATGGTTCAAGGATTTGTAAGTCAGAAGCATAATTTTGAAGTTTATCCTGAACTGCACGGGCAACCAGTGGAGAGATTTCAGAATTGGAGAAATGTGTTGTCTTCTGTCAGCTCCAGTCAGCAACCTAGCTGCTGAATGAGCATTGGAAGTAGACCCTGAAGGAGACTGAACTCGCTGGAATTAGGGATGTCTCCATCTGATCACGTGATCGGAAATCGGCCCTGATCACGTGGTTTCAGACTCAATCGGAATCTGATGTATATTGCACGTTTTAACACATATATAGTTATACGATGGCACAGTTAGAGCTCTTGACTCCACACAGAAACAACAACGCATGCGCCGTGTGGCATGAGGTCACTTTTTTGCAGAAACGCTATTGATCAAACACCGGAAAGAACACAGAAGAAGCTTGAAGTGGAAAGCGATCCAGAGGTATTTTAAAGTTGATGACAATATTGCCATAGCAAACTGTGAGATATGCAAACTTCAAACTGCAAGAGGCAGAAAAGAAAAGGCTACATTTAACACAACAAACCTGATAAGGCATCTCAGAAACAAACACCAAACAGAATACAGCGAGCTTACCCAGGCAGCCAACCCGAAGACGACTCAGCTCACGCTGCAGGAGAGTTTGAAGAGGAAAGAAAAGAATGCCCCATGGCAGCGCAAAGGCGCAGGACATCACAGCCAAAGTAGTAGAAATGATCGCACTGAGTGACCTGCCACTGGCACTTGTAGAGAACCCTGGAATTCTTCTGCTTATGGAGCACGTAGAACCCCAAATTTGGAATGTCATCTCTTAAACATTCAGGCATATTTTTAACAATGTCACTTCCTGTTTAATGTCAAGACTACAACCTTTACATTTGGAAACATATTTATGTACGGATGAGCAACACTGGTTCCCTTCAGGGCTTTGTTCTCTCCCCTCTGTTCTTCTCCCTGTACACCAACGTCTGCACCGCATGAGTCTGTCAAGCTTATCAAGTTTGCAGATGACACCACCATCATCAGACCCATCTCTGACGGGGAAGAGTCTGCCTGCAGAATGGAGGTCAAATGGCTGGTGTCCTGGTGCAACCACAACAACCTGGTGCTAAATGCACAGAAGACAGTGGAGGTTGTTGTGGACTTCAGGAAGCACACAGCCCCACCCCCCCACAACCCTGTGGCATAACCCCTGAAACTCTCATCATGATGGTGGACTCGTGTCACTTCCTGGGCACCACCATCACCCAGGACCTCAAGTGGGGGCCCACCATCATCTCCATCACAGAAAAAAACCAGCAGAGGATGTACTTCCTGAAGCAGCTGAAGAAACTCAACCTGCCAACACAGTCGATGAGGCAGTTCTACTCCGCAGTCATCGAGTCCATCCTAACCCCCTCAATCACTGTGTGGTTTGCTAGCGCTACCATCAGGAACATGAAGAAGCTTCAGCGTGTTGTACACTCAGCTGAGAAGGCCATTGGCTGCAAACTTCCCTCTATACAGGACCTGTACACCTCCAGCACATTGAGGCCTGCAGGTCAGATTACAACTGACCCGTCTCACCCTGGACACAGACTCTTTGACTCGCTCCCATCTGGCAGGAGGCTCCGATCCATTTGGACCAGAACCTCTCACCACAAGAACAGCTTCTTCCCCTCTGCAGTTGGACTCATGAATGACAATCCTAGGTCTGTCCACTCCAGTTGCTTGGCTTCAGTCACATGACCCTGTGTTGTGTTTGTACCTGAACTGTTCTGCTCTGATATTAACCATTTCTCTAATTATTGCCATATATTTTTGTTTTATCATGATTGTAACCTTTATTTTTATCTTTCTTTTTTCCACCAAGTGCTGCAGCAATTTCCTAATGTTGTGATTTTTCACACATAAGGCAATAAATCCCTTCTGATTCTGATTACTGTTGTTGTCCTTGTGGTACCTTTCTCTCCAAAGATCCACCTCTTGTGCATGCTGGTGGTGAAGAAGATGGGTGATTGGGTGACGCACATCAGCAGGTCAGTGATGGCCAGATTTATGATGAACATGTTAGCAGGTGTCCGCAGGCTGCGACTCCTAAAGTAAGCAGACACATAATCGTTGGGAGGAGATCTCTGTGACAAATGAAATATCAACCTCATCAATTATTCATTTATATAATTTAAAAATTAATTAAAGAGGAACCAACAAGTGTGCATCCATTTAGTCCATTTCAATTATGTCTGAAGAAAAGAAAAGATTGTTGTTATTTTTCAGATCATTTAGTTCAGTGATTGAAACCCAAATCAGAGATCAAAGGATTTCATGTAAACTCTTCATGGTGTTCCTCAGAGCTCAATCCTCAGTCCTTCTAGTTTTATTTTAAATAAGTTAGTTTCATTTACATATCAACTTCAATTAATGTTTTTGGAGCTTTATTGTCTGTCAGGCATGAAATGTTGTCCTTGAAAACATAGATTGACTTAAAGACTATTAAATATTATTAAACCATAAGCTAAATAAACAAAATCAACCCAAGATTTGAATGTGATGCTTCAGCAAGACCAGAACTACAAGAGAGTAGCTGCATTTGAAAGAAGGAAATGAGTTAAACAACCTCTGTAAAGAAATTGTGGCATTTCTTGTCTTAACTGGAGCTTAGAAATATTTAGTAAATTTTAAATTGTTTTATTTATAGATCAGATTTCTTGCTAAATTATTCCATTTAAACTGATAATCAAAGCATTTTGAGTTGCTTCCACAATGTGACCATCTTTATACTTCTTTGTGGTTAAACCAATTCAAGTTCAAGTATGAAAAAGACGAAGCTGAATCAGTTGAACTTGAAAACTGTCTAAACTGCTTCAGAGGTTTAAACACAACAAACCACAGCATTTACACTAAAATGAGTATTTCATTAGTAGAACAGCCATTATAAACCAAGTCTGTTTTTCATGCTACATAGGTCAATACTCATCCAGGAAATGAAACGATCAATAAGAAGGTCAAACTCGTCTTATGTAGAAATAGTTCTTAAAGGAACTCGGAAATCTGATTTGAACAAAAAGCTTTTCTGTGCAGAAATAGAGAATGGACACATTTGTTTTGATCTTTAAAGAAGACACATCATGAAAAATCCACTTTTTTAACCCCTAAAATTCAGTGTGTTGTGCATTTTAAGTCTCTAGTTGTGTAAAAAGTGTAAAAATATGGTAATAAATTAGTCACTTCAGGTGCTATTTACAAGTTTTAGTACAAACTTTTGGTCATATTGTCCAACTTATTCAGTTTTCTCACTTTTCTATTACATTTTGTTCTCTATTTCATCACAGTAATTGTCAAATGTGCTCATGGACATTCAGCTAAACATAGTCCAATCCGACTGTTTTTCTTTTCGCTAAGATTTTTGTAGTGCATTTAGAAAAATGCCGAATGTCCGGTTATTTGATCTACACAGATCTCTAAACTGTCCCCTGCTTTAAGGACAGGTGGTATGATTCTTTCTTATAGTTAGTCTATAGGTGGACCGTGTACAGCGTTGTACAATAAGCCTTAAACAAGGTGATTTCACTTTATCAGAACAAAACCCAAACTTACGAGTGAGTGTATTCCCCTGAGCATATAACATATGGCACTGCCTATGTGTCACCATCATCTCTCATGCCCCCTATATGAACAAGATATTTTACTTTGTTGGTGACACTAATCACAAAGTCTGACAGATAAAATCTGGAAACTTCATTTGCTTGTCCTCCTTGGCCCGGAGAATCATAACCACACTTTTAGCTACATTATACACAATGTTGTGCTCTACTCCATAGTCAGAGCAGATATCTAGTAACTGCTGCAGACCAACGGCGCTCAGACTTAGAAGCACTAAGTCATCTGCATACATCAGATGATTTATGACAACACCACCAGCTGCACAACGGGAAATATCCTTTCAGTGCGAAGCTTGTCATTGAACTGTTTTGCCTTCTTTTGAAGATCGTTGCAAAGAGAAACAAACTTGTTTAACACCAGAGCCATGCGCACTGCGTCATTATCTCCATCAACGTAAATGAGGGGGAAATGAATTCAGATCCTTTTCAACATTGTTTAATGTAAAGTTTTGTTCAGTACAATACTTAATTACAACAATCTAATGAAACAAAGCCTGGACTTGCATTCAGTTTAAACATGTTTTAAAAGGAGACATGTGACGCGTCAAAAAGTGGAGGATTTCCTGGTAAACACGATCATTAGATGAAAAGGGGAGGAGGGCTTTTTTTTTCAAGGAGGCTAGCGGCTCAGAGAGCTAACGTGTCACATCAACAGATAAGTGGCTGAGCCAGGTTAAGGTGCGGCTGCCTCACCTGGAGACCAGTGCAGTGCAGCCACGTAGTAATTTGCTGACAACATCACATTTTTCAGCTTATCAGCCACAGCTGGTTCTACATAAATGTGGAGCAGAGTTTTAACCTGAAGATGGAGATATAATGATAGTTCTGGGCTGAAATATTACATTTTAAGTAAGATACACTGCCACACTAATGATTACACATGTGCACAGCACCATTAGACACTCATCTATACAGGTTATCAGCAAAAAAAAAAGTTAATTTAGGCGTTACTTGCTCTTTAAGGAATTTTTGAAGAAAAGCAAGACAGTTGTCCAAACCTATTTCTGATGGAATCACCAAAAACCTAACCACTGTATCTGAACCAAGAAGGAGTGGCTTCAACCCATCATCTAAACTTGTTGATGATCACCAGCATGTTCCGTTTACCTTGCACAGACTTAGTCATGTCAACCTAGTCTATTAATAGATGTTTGAACGGACCTTCAGGCACTGGAACGTGTCTTGGGGTCTCCACAAATCACTTGAGTGTCTTACTGCTTTCATACCTGCTGAAGGCATAAATAACTAGGAGATTCCCGATCATCCCGGTGATCCCAATGGCAAGGATGACTGAGCCGATAGTGTAGTGGGCGTGGTCGGGAACATCCACGGTTGGGAATGGGTGCAAGACCTCTGGCACCATTGCCACCTTCAAGACAAAAGATCCAGATGTGAGACAGCTGCAGGTTTATTGAGATATATGTTTTCCACCTGTCCAGTCCTGGCAGTTGAAGCAGACAGAATGAGTGATCCGACTGCCATAACATGCCAGAGCTCTACAGCAAGAGGGATGTGGGATGTTTCTCCTGTTACACCTTAGCCTTTATTATGTTTGTAGCATGTTAGACTATATTTATTCAATCAATCAATCAATCAATCAATCAATCAATCAGCCAAAAGTTTATTTATATAACACTTTAAATGCAGCAATGTTGCCAATAGTGCCTAACATAAAAATGAAAAATCAATAAAATGATTGACAACAGTCAATAACAAAACATAAAATAAGCACAAAACTTTATATCAGACACAAAGAGTCATAAAAACAGGACCACCCTGTCAGCCAAGGCCGGATTAACCATATGGGCAACTGGGCAATTGCCCAGGGATCCACGAACTCTAAAGGGCCCAGGCCCAGGGCAGCAAGGGCACGAGCAAAATACTGAATCTGTAATCTCCCACTTTATATTAAACTAAGGGGACCGTACGTCCTCTTTTCCCCGGACATGTCCACTTTCACACTCTGTCCTGGACGTCCGGACTGCGGGTTCTTGTATTGATGAAAATGTCCGGCATTTCATCCAGGAGCAGGGATCGAATTATGGGGGAGCTGGATATCCTACACATCCAGGGGAGCCGGAAAAAAGTTTTTTTTACCTATATTACATCATTTATGGACTCGTTTGAGCAGAGAGCACAGACAGCTGCAGAGCGATGATCGATGGTGCGCAGCGCTCCAGGCTGCTGCGTCCAGCGCACGGTCCATTCTCAAAGTGCCGCAACAAAAAACTATAATTAACACACGATCGTTCATGTCCGCTCATGTTCTCTACTTTCTGTCTTATTTGTGCCTGCAGCGCTCTGCTACTGCGGAGCTCATCACCTGTGCTGCGGTGATTTCACCTCACTGACGCAGCATCGAAACGCGCTTTCCACTTTGCGGTCAGGAGATCCCTTTGATCTGCTCAAAAGTAACTGATGAGGTGAAAAAGTAAGAATCCAGGCAGCAGATTTTCTGGAGAGTTTAGAGGAGATGCAGGAAGAAGAGAGACAGACAGGACAGGAAATAGTTAAATAAAAACAAGAAAACAAAACAAAGTGATGAAAAGTAAAATGTAGGTAGATTTATCTCCACTACAAATTTTTACCTGTATAAAACAATAAGTTATACACATGTCATATTTACACATTTGATACAATTCAGATCACCTTCAAAACTCAGTCAGCTGTGAGCTGCCTTTTCTGATCAGGAAATGGCCGGCAGTTAATAACTTAAACATAAACTGTTTTTTGAACCAGGCTGTACACATGTTTATTTCTGCTGTGAACCTGCCATTTTTAGCATGGGAGTCTAAGAGGATTTGATCACTTCTGGTGCCAGCCCCTAGTGGATGAGGGGAGAACTGCAATTTTTGTCACTTCTGTGTTGCTTCACAAAAGTCAGACTAAAACGGTCCCTTGGTGGTTGCCTATGTGTGCAGGTTTAAGCTGTGTGTGTGTGTGTGTGTGTGTGTGTGTGTGTGTGTGTGTGTGTGTGTGTGTGTGTGTGAGAGAGAGAGAGAGAGAATTGTTAAGTGTTTGTGGGTGTTTGAATGCGGATTTGTCACCAAGAGTGTTGTTTTGTTTTTGTTTTTAAATGCTGTGTATGTGATGAGGGAGGGGCTTCCAGCAGCAGCTCAGGGCCCTCCAGCGCCAGAGTCCGGGGCCACGCACACTCCAGCAGCCGATAGCCACCAGCGAATGAGCACATACAGACCAGCCACCCTCTGTCTGGTTCCCAAACCCCCATCTGCAACACTGCACCGGAGTTGCAGCCCTTCCCCTGATGTTGTCAGTGTGCCTTTAGTTCAGACTTCTCTAATAGACTTTGTTTTTTATTCCTCACTTGCAGTCCTGTGTATGATTCTACATGACTTGGGTTAGGTCTCTACCACAAAACATGACAATAACTGATGTTTATTGATGCTGTTATTATACGTTCTGACTGCAACTGTGTGGCTGTGCACTGGGAGAGCACGGCTGGGGAGAGGGAGGAGCAGGTGGAGCCGCAGGGGTGGAGACAGGTACACGCTCTTTAACAGCTGGACCACATCACTAATCAGTCCTCTCCACGTCTAAACAGGAGGAGAAGGAGAGTGACGTGTGATAAATTAAGTCTGTTCAGCATATCTGTGTGTGGTCGTGACCTCAGAGTACAGCTTCTGTTACAAATTGATTTAATTCAGACTTTTGTAGGATTTGTATGCACTGTTTCATTATCTACTACCAGCTCTGTTCATAACCTGGGTTGGCATTACGTTTCCCTTTAAGATGCTGTAAAAATAAAGGAAAAGGTAACAAAAACAAAAACTACCTTGCAGAACTATGACCTCACAATTAATCAGCCATCAGCTTTAGTTTCCATTTAAATTTTGACAGCTTCACAAGTCATGATAATCTTTATCCCTTACATCATCAGATCTTCTTTCTTATGTCACTCAGAAATGATTCAGAAGTTTCCTCGTCAGCTGATGACACGTGAACTTAAAATTCTTTTGAACATCTGAACTACAAACAAAAATACAAACCTAACTTAAGACAAAAAGTTAGATGTTAAGTCTAGAGCCGGATTTGTCATGTTGGAAAAGCTAGAAGAGCGCTGGAGCATCTTCATCCAGACTGCAGAGAAACATCTGGCTCTGAACAACCATTAAATCGACTGTAAAAATACCAAAAGCTTGCTGATAAATCAGGATGTCCTGACAGATTAGTGTTCACAGCTCCTGACTTCAAACTACACACACATCAAAGGGTCAAATACACACCTGTGTTCATGAAAACACTTGTGAGTAATGCTGATGCTTCACAGCTTCTACAGTGACCCATTAAACCACATCAAACACTGCACGCAAACATCCCATCGGATGTTTAAACGTGTGCTTATCTGCTCGGAGCGCAGAGATCCAAACATGCATGTCTTGAACATAGTGACGATGATGATGGAGTCTGACACATTGTGACAGGAGGGCATTAAGCTAACAAACCCAGATGACTGCACATAGAGAATCTGAACCACATTTTAACAAACTGTTAAAGGTCCAGAAAAATATGCATTTGGATTCATGGTAGGTCGGGTTTTCACAGCATCTGTCTGCATTCCTTCATGAGGGTTTGTTCCTAGCCTCTCAAGGCTGTTATGGCGTCAGATTCGGATAACTAGACTTTGTTTGGGTCAGGCTGAGATAATTTTCCTCTCTGCCTTCAGTCTTTAAACTGACCATGTCCAGTTCTTCAGTGAAGCCAATTTTGGGTTGTTAAACTTATCCGTACCGTCCGGTGACTCTCTCCGAGATGACATCCATTTCAATCAATCAATCAATCAAATTTTATTTCTAAAGCGCTTTTCAAACAAAGTGTTATTCAAAGTGCTTTACAAAATGACCCCAGATTCCCATAACAGGTTAAAAACATTAACAAACATATGCAATCACACGCACACACACACGAGTAAAAATTATATTAGGCTGAGTCCAGATGAGCCAAGTATGGTAACGCAAGGAAACGCCATCAGAAGGAGCCGTCTGTCCCGGCAGCATCAGGTCTTCCACACTAAGTCAGGGCGCTCAGTGGAGGGGGAGCATAGACCCCCACCTATAGAGCACCCAGGAAGCTACAGTCGACCACCGCTCCCGGGGCAGAGGGCCCCCACAGAGGAAACACTGGATTAAAATGAGTAAAAATGTAATAAAAGAGCTGATATAAGGGACAACAATTAGAAAATAAGTAATAAATAAAATCATAGACAGTAAAATAATAATTTAAATAATAAAACTGTGCTAAAATATAATCATATAGAACATGCAAAGCAAGTAATAAAATATAATCATGTAAAACGAGAAATAAAACTGTAGTAAATATTTAGATAAAAGCTAACCTAAAAAGATGGGTCTTGAGCCTGGACTTAAAAACATGAACGTTCTCTGCGGCCCTGAGGTCCTCTGGCAGCTCGTTCCAGAGGCGAAGGCCATAACACTGGAAGGACGCCTCGCCGTGAGTTTGTGTCCTGACTTTAGGGATGACCAGGAGACGTCTGCCAGAGGAGCGCAGAGTCCGCGAGGGTTCATATGGTAAAAGCAGTTCTGATAGATAAGAAGGCCCAAGACCATTAAGACACTTAAAAACCATTAGAAGAACCTTAAAATTGATCCTGAAACATACGGGGAGCCAATGCAATGATTCTAAAACTGGTGTCATGTGCTCCCGCCTCCTGGTCTTCATCAGGACACGTGCTGCCGAATTTTGTAAAATTTGTAAGCCTGAGATGATCTTTTTGGGAAGACCAGAAAGCAGGGAATCACAGTAGTCTATCCTACTGGTGACAAAAGCATGCATCAACGTCTCCGTATTGGCCCGAGAGAGAATGGGGCGGACTCTGGCGATGTTCTTTAGATGATAAAAACCTATTTTTGTGATATTTTTAATGTGTGGGATAAAAGTCAGCTCAGGGTCAAAAATCACACCCAGGTTCTTCACTTGTTCAGATGGATTAAAAGACAGAGATTGTAATTTCAGTAAAAGCTTCTCTCTCTGGGCCTCAGGACCAATGACTAAAACTTCAGTTTTGTCCTGGTTGAGCTGGAGAAAGTTCTCTGCCATCCAGGATTCGATGTCTAAAATACAGTTAAAAAGTGCATTCATTGACCGAGAGTCATCCGGAGACACGGAGATGTACAACTGTGTATCATCAGCATAACTAATACCGGTATCGCAGCTAGAACATTGTCCAGCTTACGATTCACCTCGTGTAACGTCCCAGTCTGTGAGGTCTCCACATGGACGGTGCTTTCCGTGGGTGCGGGTCGCTCTCCAATCGCTCCCGTCTTCCCAAATTTCCAGAAAACCAGATATCCTCCCACTCTAGTCAGGAGAAATCCAGTGATCATCAGGCCG